TTAGATGATGAAATACAGCAAAAAATTTTATAGTTAATATCTGATTCTAGTTCCTCGTCAGGACCTTCTGATAATGAATTAGCAGCAATTTATTCAGATAGTTCAGAACAAGAAACAGGTGATAATCCAGAAAATGAAATTTGCCCTTGTAAAACTTCAGTAAACCAAGTTTCCGATGAAGTAAATTATTGGAAAGCTATAGTTGAAATGAATGGACTTAATATTGGTCCCAGTATTAATGTCCTCACAGATTCTGAGCAAAATCTTTTAGAAATTGCTGATGGACTTAAAGATCCAGCTACTAAACTAAAGTTTCTTGAAATGTGCTATAATCAGAAGAAAGAAGAAGTACTTCCCCCTAAACATTATAGCATGAATGAAGTCTTTAATCGAATGCAGACATCTAGTCCAGAAAAGCCTATTACAGTTCAGGACCTAAAAATGGAAATTAATGCTTTAAAAGTAGAAATTAAGCATTTACAGAATTCAAATATTGCTATTAATTCACAAATTAAAAGAATTAATACCCAACTACAGAATGAGAAGAAGACTAAGACTGAAACATCTGAACCTGATCCAGACTATTTAATGTTATTAAATAGGATAACATTTCAGAAATGGTATATTCGTATCACATTCATGATTTAACCAGACTATATTATTCGCGATGCTATTGCTTTGGTTGATAGTGGTGCAGATATGAATTGCATACAAGAAGGCTTGGTTCCTACCAAGTATTTCCAGAAAACAAGTCAATCACTAACCAGTGCCAGTGGTAACAGTTTGTATATTGATTACAAACTTCCAGAAGTATTAATTTGTAATCAGGGATTATGTTTAAAAACATCTTTTGTTTTAATTAAAAATATGGCTCAAAACATAATTCTTGGTACTCCTTTCCTGAATCTTTTAATGCCTATTACTAAAATTGACACAATAGGTATTCATACGACTCTTGATAATCAAAACATTGTTTTTGAATTTATCACTTCTCCCTGTACTAAAGAATTAGATCAAATTACTGATTTAGTTTATTTAAAACAAAACCAGATAAATTTTCTTTAGAAAGAAGTAAGTTTTCTAACTACAGAACAACGATTACAGCAAACATCTTTTCTACAAAAAATTAAATTGCTTGAGACAGAATTTCAAGAAGAAATTTGCAGCGATGTTCCAAATGCTTTTTGGGACCGCAAGAAACACATGGTTTCGTTGCCCTATGAGCCTACTTTTGATGAAAGAAAAATTCCTACCAAGGCTCGTCCCAGTCAAATGAGAAAAGAGTATATGGAACTTTGTAAAAATGAAATTAATACTCTTCTCCAGAAAAAATTAATTAGACCCAGTAAATCTCCTTGGAGTTGTACTGCTTTCTATGTGAATAAAAATACAGAAATTGAAAGAGGTATTCCTCGGTTAGTAATTAATTACAAACCCTTGAATGAAGCCTTATAATGGATTCGTTATCCCGTGCCAAATAAAAAAGATCTTTTAGATAGATTACAGGATGCAGTGATATTTTATAAATTTGATATGAAGTCAAGATATTGGCAAGTTCAAATTGTAGAAAATGATCGCTATAAAACTGCTTTTACAGTACCCTTTGGGCATTTTGAATGGAATGTTATGCCATTTGGTTTGAAAAATGCACCATCTGAATTCCAGCATATTATGAATGATATTTTTAATCCCTACACAGAATTTGCCATATGTTATATTGATGATGTGCTTATTTTCTCATCCTCAATCGATCAACATATGAAACATCTTAATATTTTTAAGCATGTTATTTCCAAAAATGGTCTTGTTGTTTCTGCTCCAAAGATGAAGCTTTTTCAGACAACTGTTAGATTTTTAGGACATAATATTCATAATGGAACAATTATTCCTATTAATCGAAGTATGGAATTTGCTTCCAAATTTCCAGATGAAATAAAGGATAAAACACAGTTACAGCGATTTTTGGATAGTTTAAACTATATTCATGATTATTACCCTAATCTTGCTACTGATGCAGCAATTTTATACAGTCGTCTTCGCAAAAACCCTCCTATTTGGGGTCCAGAACATACTGCAGCAGTTAAGAAAATTAAGGCTAGAGTTCAAACTCTTCCTTGTTTATGTTTACCTCATCCCGAATGGAAAAAGATTGTTGAAACTGATGCCTCAGATTTAGGATTTGGTGGCATATTAAAACAATTTAATCCAAATACTAATAAAGAAGAACTTTTACGTTTTCATTCAGGTATTTGGCATGATGCTGCTAAACGATATCCAACCATTAAAAAAGAATGTTTAGCCATCATTAAATGTGTATTAAAATTCCAGGATGATTTATTAAATCAGCATTTTTTAATCAAAGTTGATTGTTCTGTTGCCAAACAAATATTTAAAAAAGATGTTGCCAATTTAGCTCAACGCCAGATTTTTGCTACTTGGCAGGCAACCCTTTCTGTCTTTGATTTTGACATTGACTATATTAAAGGTGAAAATAATTCCCTTCCAGATTTTCTAACTCGTGAATATTTGCAGAAATCACATGCAGGGTAGAAGCCGAGGCTCCGCCCGTCGGGGCCGTGGACGGGGATCTAACCCCTATCATACAGCATTTCCGCCATTATTTGGCCAATCCAGTAATCCCGGGGAATTTTCTAGCAAGTCTGCTAAAGATGTCCTTCTTGCTCCAGAAAATGCTTACATCCAGAATACTATTAGAGAAGAAACTGTCCTCTACATAGATTCTTCCAATGTTCAATGGATGGTTGATCCGTGGGAGATAAAACGTCGTTATCTCGCCACTCAAAACGCACCCCCGCGTTTTGACCAATATAGATATATGTACGAGCAAATTCTTACAGAACTTGCCACGGTACAATTCCAGCAATTGGAGAGCAAATGGTAAAATGAATCAGACATCAGTATACAGTGTACTCTACGTGATGGTAGGTGTACCAATTGGAGAGCATCACTTATGGGTGCAATGGAAACCAGTTTAGCCCATGGTCCAGTATATTTTGATATATATCCAAATTTCAGTATTGCTTTATTGGATCAAAACTTATCAAAATTTTTAGAATTCAGAATTCTTACCCATGGTTATGAATATCTTCCAGGATCTCCACATTTTTCTGTAATTTCCCGAATTTATTTAAAAGTTTTATCCACTTTAAATCCTATGGTGCTGGAATTGTACGGAGGCAAGTTCTGTAAGAATTTGCTCGTTGTAGACGTCCCCGAACGCCCCGGGAGGGACGAGTCCCCCCCGTTCCGTTCGATATTGGGCTCACTACAGTTCAGGACTCTAAAATTGTCACGGTTCTAAGTCTGAACCAAAGAGTCCAAATACGACAAATCGTTTTGAGAAAACAGATTTTTGAAAGAAGTGCCAAACATGGACTGCTTTGCCAGATACAGAGTCGCCACCTAAATGTTTTATTTTGGAGAAATTTAGGAAACCCTGACTCGTTTGCCTAAGGCCACGTGTCCGTCATCACCAAAGTTGCCTCGGCTCGGGAACTTGGGTACGATTGGGGAAGGTCACTTTGTGAGCACCCCCACTCGCCTGATCAAAGATCGGCCTCTACTAACCATGATATCTATTTTTGAAAACATTATGTGTTCTTATTCCGGTTATTAGCCTAGATTTACTATGTGATGCGCACAGCATATAAGTATAGACTGGATCGCCTGAATTGGAACAAAACATTTCATGTTTGTTTGTTTGAAAATGGTTTGA